TGTGCTACAAGCTGCCTAGAAACCGTCTTCCTAAGAGAAAACTTGCTGACAAACACCAGTGTTGTAGAGAAATCTGAGCTGTGGGTGAGGCTGTCTTGTTAAAAAACAAACAAACAAACAAAACACATTGCAAATGCAGTTTTCAGCCTTGTAACAGCCTTGACTACCAAACTCTTGACAAGATGTTGCTTAGTCCTGGAGTTTTTATCACCTTAGAAAAACCAGGACAAAGAGGGTAGCTTAAAACAGTGAATTAATTACCTGACTCTTCTTTTTCAGGTATTAAGTACCTATGGTTTCTGATTAGAGTAAAATTTAAATGCTTTTCTATCAGCATTTACTTTTAAAACATGCCAGTCGATTACTGATAATCTTTAGGTAGAATCTACTTTTCATTTATGTTTTGTATAGGTCAAATGAAAATATATGCCAGAGAAACAGCCATCATGAAATATATAGAGGCCCGTCTGGGAAAGCAAATTCAAGAACATCCAAAAGCTTTGAAGTAAAGAACACTCTGATTTTGACTGCAAAACAAAATTTCTTTTTTAATGTAGCCTCGCTGGCATTACGCAGTGCTCCTCAAAGTGAGACCTTACCCTGACTTTCCTAGACAGACAATCCTGGCTCTCTTTGGATTTTTTATGCGTCTAATTATTGTGGTTTTTACATTGATCATTCCAGAAACAGACAAACCAAGGCTCAGAGGAAGCTCCTTGGTGGAGGGAGAGGGGAGAAGAGGTGCAGGCAAAGTTTGTGCTTGCCCTGGGCCATGTTCTCATCATAAACATCCATATTTATGTATAGAACTTTACATATTCAAGATAATTTAAACTTTGAGTTGACAGTCATGATAAGAATGAAGAAGTTGTAGCTTTTCTGAATGAAATGCCATTGACGATTCTTTTACACTGTTCTATGTGACATTATGAGATGTCCTGAATTCCGAGGCTTAAGGGGAAAGCAGATGTCACAGTAATGTTTAGAATGTGAATGAGTAAGGCCTTAAATATCATAGAAAATGAAGCTACTCTGTTTTCTTTGCTTAAAAAAAAGTTTGTAAACTTTTCTGCATAAATGTATGCATCCCCCCACACCCCACATATCCTGTATAATAATTATGTGATAATCAAATTTAAGATGAAGCATCCATAAAAGGTAAGCATGAGCAAAAATAACTATAAAGCATAGTCAAATTAAATTTTTATGATTCATTAAACATCCATTAAAATAACCCATTAAGACTAAACTGTTGAGTTGGTAACTGATGCATCTTCACATCACCAGTGAATTGCATGGAGCTCAGCTTTGCCCTGCATCTGTTTCTATCGAAAATTGTGCAAGAAGTGCAGACTAGAGACTCATTGTTTGATAAACTTCTTAAAAGGGAGGTGCAACCTGACAATCAGGTGCTTTCTGTGGTGGGACCCACACTTTGGCAGAAGATTCTGGCAGAATAGACCTTTTCGAGCAAACTTTGTACATGCATGATGTGCCATCTAGTGGTTAAGTGAGCCCAACATTAATGAAAAAGAAAATGGTTCTTTCTGGTGTCTGATACCTCCAAATTCTCCACCACTTGATTTAAGCAGCTGTACAGGAAGCTATAGGCTGTTTTTGTGTATGTGTGTGGTGGTCTGGAGGATAGGAAACCATTTTCTTAGAAGCTACATGTTGAACAAAGGTACTGGAGGTGGGGGGAGCACTGATATTTCAGTAATTACACAAGCCAGAGGTAGCAAATTGGCGATGTTTGGCCCACAGAATACCTTCTTCCATTTTATTTTATTGAGGCATAATTCACATATATAGTACACAAATCTTCAGTGTACGGTTTGATATGTTTTTACATTTGTAAATGTGTACATTTGTATACTCCATATAATCACAACCTGGATCAAGCTATAGGATGTTTCCAGCATCCCAGTAGCCTCTCTCGTGGCCCCTCCCAGCAATTCTTCCTCTGAATAACCACAACTTAGACTCTGTCCCCAGAGATTCACAATGGCATCATTAAAGCACATACTCCTAACCTAACCTCCAAGAATAAGATCTTTTAATCACCGTTTTCATAGTTTGCCTGAAAAGGGGACAGTTTCCTCATCTGAAACATGCTCTGGCTTTAAAAAAAAAAAAAAAAAAAGCCCTATTTCCTGGGTTTATTTCAGAGCCCAGGTGATATAATGATCTCTCTTTCCCCAGTCTAAAATCCTAATATATTGTTTTTTTTCCCAAGCTTCTCACAAAGAGGTATATTCATTCAGTGCACTGATTATTTTTCCCCAAGTGTCTCTGCAGGCAGCCAAGTCAATTTTAAAAGAAATCCCATTACTTTTGAGCGGCATCTCAGAGGTGCCACTGATTGTCCTGGCAAAGCCTATGAATTCTGTTGCAGTATTGCAGAAATTAATGTGAATGCCATGTCACCAGCGACTGCGTGACACCCTGTTTAAATTAAGCCAAGCAAATCATAATGGTGAGAAAAGCTCTCACCCTATAATCCAGCAAAGGCTGATTTATAATGAATAGCATAATGCAGTCACTGTTGCTATTTCTACAGGACCTCTTTCTGTTCAAATTAAACTAAATTATCTCGATGTCAAAATGAATAGTATGTCAAGAAGCAAAGGTAGTTCTGAAATAAAATTATTGTAGTTATTCCTGAGCTTTCATGTATATGCCTATTTATTTAATTACTGAACAAACAAACACGCAATCAGTCAACCAGCATGTCTACTGAGCATGTTACTTCTAGGTGTTTTCCAAATGCTGGAGATAGAAAAGGTAGGTTTCTGAGTCCTCCCTCGCTGCCATATACTTGAACCTTGTTTAGGCCTGTTTTGCCCTGACCTGCAAGCTGGTATTTAAAGAGATGGCTGCCTCTTGGGATAATAAACAGGGCAAGATTATAAGCATCATCTTAATTTATTCTATTTTGTAAATAACTTCATTTTTTGCTCTAATTATTTAGCATGGATTTGGAAAATAGAAGAATGTAAAGAGGAAAATATACACATCTCTAATCCACCAAAGAAAGCCTTTAATGACTCTGATTAATTCTGTTCAAAGAAGTGTTAGTCCTTTTTTTTCTGTGTGTACATGCATATATTTATTTTATGGAGTTCAGATGATACATGTTTTTCTCTATCATAAGAAACTCTTGAAACATGTTTAGTACTTAGAGTGACTTTATAATTTCTGAAATAAGAATGAAAACTAATTTTTTTTTACCATTCCTTATTATCGGAAATTTTGATTGTTGTTTTTAAAATAGTTACAGATATTTATTGTTCGTGTATTTGAAATGAAGTCTTTGATCTTCTACCATTCTCAATGATCAGAATTTCCAGAATAGTATTAAATAATAATGGTGATAGTGACTGTCTGTGGTTTCTTCCTGATTATAAAGGCAAAAAATCTGAAGTTTGTTAAATAGGACAACTGCTGATTTGAGTTACCTAAAAATCATATTAAAGTAGTCTTTGGGTCCTAATTTTTAAAAATCAGCAGTGTAGAATTGAACATTACCAAATGTCTTTCAATGCTATTGAAATAATTAATTTTGTCCCAATTTGGCCTATAGATGTGTGATACATTATATTACTAGATTTCCTAATATTGGTCCCCCTTCCTTAGAATGACTACTACTATAACTAAAGTAATGTACTTTTAATGAATTGTCAAATTCAATTCCATATTCTTGATTTTAGGATTAGAGATACACTCTGTTCGTCTCATTCTGGTCTATAAATGTGGGTTGCTGAAGTTGGGGTTGGGGAACTCGTTGATGTCTATTATTCACTCTCCTTTTTCTTGATCTCTTTTCCCAACTGCAAGAAGTGTTTTTTATTTTCTTTTTATGAATTCATAAAGTGCTTTTCTTAGCCTCTCTCAAAGTGCTCGTTCCACTTGTGAAAATTTCTGCCTTCTGTTCTTGTATAGGTGATTTGTGTCTTAAATTCAAGAATTTTCCATCCCTTCTCCTTAGCTACTAAGTGTCATTCACCTAACCTCTCCTGCAGGGTTTCAGCAAAGAGCTACAGTGGCAATGGTGGAGATTTACTTAGATGAGGTTTTTTTTGTTTGTTTTTTATACTTAGATGAGTTTTGTCAACACACTTAGATTTCCAAACCAGCCCTGCAGTAAACTAAGGAGGAAAGCAAGGAAGTAATAATGATTCCAAAATTCTGTGGGTATCATGTTTCTCTGTGGCACCAAAATGAGTCCAAAAGAGGTTACTTTCAGAGGTTTAGGAGCAGACACAACAGAGATGAGAGCCAAGCACTGAAACCAGCTCTCATATACCTGCCCAGATGCCTGTTCCATTCTGGTCTCGAGGGTGGATTACAGAGAAAACCAGTTACTTCAAATGCTTTTGCTTACCTCAAGTACACACTCTTAAAACTAAGTACATTCATTATATTCTAATATTTTTAAAAACCCTTCCAATACCCATCTCAAGACATCACTTCAAAATGATATCTTTTAATTGCAATTCTTTCCCAGGGGAAGGCTTACAAAATTAAGGATCCTCTAAGGGCTCACCTACTATACTATAAACCACTTGAGGACAAGAAATAGGTCTTAAGTATATTCTAGCTCCCTCTATACTAGTGTTTCTGGAATTAATCTTCTTTTTTTGCAACGTAATGTTTTTGAGGTAGGTATTCCGCACTTGTTTAAAGGCCAAAAGCAACTTCAAAAGCCTTTTAGCAAGTAGAGGTAGAATCACAACCAAAAACTTACTGGAAATTAATGGAAGAAATGATGGCAAAAGTAAAGAGAGAGCATAAGTAAACTCTTCAAGCTAGAATCAAACTGAATGTTTGCCCAGGGGAGTAGGAGTAGGTCAGGTGATGACTTCAAAATACCCGGTCAGCTTTGCAGGGAGGGAGTGATTAGTGGATATTGTTGAATATCTGATTCTGTGCCTTTACTAGAGTTTCTTTGAAAGCAAAGTGAAAGTTGTGTTTGATGATTCCTTTCTCCTTTTCCGTAGGGTATTAAATACCACGTTATTTGAAAGTTGGGAGATTGTTGGACCTTACCCTTCTTGGTGGGTTTTTAACCTACTGCTGTTGCTAATACAAGGCTTGAACTGCTTCTGGTCTTACTTGATCGTAAAAATAGCTTGCAAAGCTATTTCAAAAGGCAAGGTAAGATAAAATTCACCCTTCCCTATGTGTCCCAGAAAATTGTTTTTGATGGTTCTTCTGAATCAATAAGAAGATTATTTATTATTTTACATTTCATCAAAACTGATACTATTTTTTCATAATTTAGCAGAACCTCCTGGAAACAACAAACCAAATTTTATTTTTCTCAATTTAGTTCATTTTTTAAGTTGTAGCATTGCTTTGCTGATAGTTATTCCCAGTTATCTGCACTTATAACTTTAGATTTATGATAATATTTTATTTGTTGTGTTCTTCCTCTCCCTCTCTCTGTCTCCTTTGGTCCTTCTCTGGTTATACTTACCGAACAGAAATTTAATCACTTCTTTCTTTTTATGAGAAAGGTTGCTTGATACAGTATGCCCATGTATGCCTTTTCCAATAAAATTTAGCTGAATCTCTTTGGTTAAAAAAAAAAATAACTCATGAGACTGATTTGAATAAAGCTTCTTGAGCCACAACCTTTCTGTGTAGAGCAGTGACTTTTCTAGAACATACTCTGTAACATTTTCTTACTTTCGTTGTTTGTTCTCTTCCTTCTGCCACCCTGGAAGGCTGGGAAGTGGAACCCTTTACATGTAAGTTTCTTACAACTCTCTCTCTATCCTTGTCCTGGGTGCCACATTATTCACCTGTTGGAGGGACACTCAGAGGCTTATTTCCATGCATATTGTTCTAGCTAATCTGTTGCCACTGACAGCTGGTGTAGCCCCCACCAGCTGCAAAGGGGTACTAAGAACAGCTCAGTTAATGCCTTTTTTTGTGTGAGCTTTGCATGATCCAACAGAGAAATGAAGAATTTTTTTCATTGCTGTTTAACATATTGTCTGGGCGGGGGGCGGGGGGGGGAAGCACACAGAAATATACCAAAGTCAAGTAGGAGAAAGAGAACTAAGTCAGGAACAGGATGAATACAATCGAGAATGGAGGCGTAAACATCTGCTCCTTTGCCTGGTCTGCCCTGGACCACCAAGCAGCACTTGACCACTTTGTCCTCAGTCAGGTAAACAGAGCTGCTCCCTTTGACAAAGGGGCTCTGGACACCTAGTCACATTCTATGAAGCCAATTCTCAGTGTCCACTCTTATATAAATCCAAACTATTCTGATCAATTCATTGTTTAGAAGCAAAAGTTTATTTTTTTTCCTCTGTGACCTCTTACTCTTTAAAGTGAGCATGTATTTCTATTTTTAAAAATGCTTCTGTTTTCATTTGGATACAAATTAAATCAACATGCATAATACTGTCAGTAGGATAACAATAACTGAAGATACAAGGACACCGTGGATTACATTACTTGTGAACTTGCTACATTGCTATTTCCACTAGGTGTGTGGTCTTCTCACCAACTTATTCCTTCAACTTATTCATCTATAAGAGATAGATGATCATTAATTTTATTCCAGATATCAGGCTTCAGAATATTTTGACTGCCATCGCTGCTTACCTAGGACAGTAAGGCTCATCTTGGCCATGAGTTATAGATTATATCTTCCTGTAGGTTATTTTGAGATATTCTAAATTGTTCCTTTCTTTGAAGGTAACATAACTATATATTTGTTTCCCCAAATGCAATTAAAAATAATCTTGCTAAGCATTCAGATGTAAATTAATCACTATCTGAAACTGGAGTTTTCTTTCCTATTAGCAGCTTAATTTATAACTAATGGATTTCTAAATGTAGTGGAACCTAACTCCAACACTATTTTTGTGACCTGTGTTATTTGAAGTATTCTTATAATCTAGTCATTTTGTGGTTTCAGTATGTAAATCTTCTTGAAGATGGTCCTTGTGAATTCAGCCTCATCTCAAGGGGCAGAGGAGTGAGGTCCATTTTTACAATATTTCCCATCATCTCTGGTTGAAATAGAGCAGTAATTCTCAGCTCTTATGTTCTCCTGTACCCACCCACCTAACAAAGATGGCATTCTCGTAGTAATCCCTCAGGAAGGGCAGTGAATTTCAGGATTCCCAAATTGGGGAGTAGTGGTGGCACAGAGAGGGTATGATGTGAAAAATCCCCCAGCTGATTTGGATACACCTCCCAGAAAACTTTGCCAACCTCCCCAGCCCACCTCTGGTCACTCACAGGTGACTATATTGGGAAAATTTCTATGAAACCATGCCACCAGGTCCCTTTTGCCATCCTACTCAGAAAGTATGTTATCTGTGCTCTGTTACTCAAAGGTCTTAAGGCCTGTTGGATGAAAATGCTTACCATAATTTAGACTTAGATAGTAAGAGGTTCAAACTATTTTAGTATTAAATGCAGTAGAGTATTTCTTAATTTCTCCCTAAATTACTACCTTGCTAGATAGTATGATTTTTTTTTTCATTTTTTATGGTAATGTATAGATTTATATCCTGGTACCTTATCGTACCATCCTCATTACTTAATGAAGCTTCATGGAAGACTGAAGAACCCTAGAATGATGGGAGCCAATTCATGATGATCCAGTCAATAGATTTTCCTTGGGAAATATTTTAAACTAAACCTCACCCAGCAGGGTCTCAAAAAGCCTCCTACTGCCATTAGTTATTGTGTAGTATATAAAACGAAATGTTTTCTACTTAATTCTAGTGGACAGAAAAGAAAACCAAATGAAATCATGAAACAATGCATTACAAAGCCAATTAAAAATGATGTTGTGATCATCTGAGTTAGTGACTATCTCCGTTAGTTTAGTTAATTGAGAGCAGACTTTGATTCTCAAGGAGAATGTGATCACCAGAGTGTAAATTGATTCATTTGTACCAAATTCTTATAATGCATTTCAGTAGCACAGTATGCCACTTTGCCAGCAGAAGAAGGATTCGTGGTTTAGTACATTCTCAATATAGAAAGGCACCTTAAAGAGTTCAGCAAGTCTAGCCCCTTGTGATACCTAAATCCACTTACCTTTCTTGATAACTGACTTTGTCACCCAAATTGTATATCTCCAGTGAAGGGGAACATATTACTATGGCAAAGTTCCAGTCCTCTTTGATTTTTTTAACGTTTGGATCTGTTTTCCTCATGTGTGATTGCATGTGATTCTGAGCATGCCATACCTTAATGATTCCTTAGGAGCTGGTTACACTCACTTTCTTGTATGCCACAGGTGTCCAAGGATGATCGAAGTGATATTGAGTCTAGCTCAGATGAGGAGGACTCGGAACACCCAGGGAAGAATGCCCACACTGCAACCACCACCAATGGAACCAGTGGTACCAACGGGTATCTCCTGACCGGCCCTTGTTCCATGGATGATTAATTACTCAAAACTGCAAGTCCCGAACGAAGTGAACTGTTTGTTCCTGGAAGTATTTAATAAGTTGCAAATGCAGTTCCTTTCATATCTCAGCACCAGAAACAAAAATTAGGATTATCAACGCATTTTTGAATAGTGCACTGCCATATCTCGTCTGTGAATGAAGAATTACCATTCTTTATATGTAGGCATGCTGTATGTAATTGACACAAGGGAACAGTATTTGCATTTGTATTGTCTTAGAATATTATTTATTTTTTGTATTTGTTTGTAAATCTGTGGACAAAAGAGGATTTCCTCACTCCTTTTACTCTCTGGGTTCATAACAGTGAGGGAGATACTCCATCTGCTTCCACCCCTTTCTGCTGCTGTAACCCAGTCTGCTAGGAGCATCAGCTTAATTTGTCTGAGAGCAAGCAAAGCCCTGTGTGAGATTCTCATACAGCTCCAAATAGGTTCACTTTCTTTGTGTCAGTGCCCATTTTGAAATTGCCTATGGTCTCAGTGATCATCCTCCCAGTATATAGTTTAAACAGGATGAGCTTGGGTTTTTGTCACTCTTCGTGGTCACTTAGCAGTTCAAATTAAAGAGTATAGTTATTGAAGGGCTTTTGAAATATTGTTTTATATTAAATTGCTTAGGAATAGACTTCATTTCCTGTGCAGACAGCCAAGATTTCTTCAATGAGCAAGGTAGCTAGTTGGGGATTAACCTTGTAGGTTACAGAGATCTTTTTATTCTCAGTTATGAAGTCAGTGCTCCGGCTCTGAAGGAAAACCTTTGCTTAAGGTCATAGTTACAAGGAAACGACTCAATATTGAGAATTTGTCCCCTGATCTAAGAATAACATAAGGAAAGAGT